TTCAGCCCTCTAAGCCAAGGTGATACAGATGCGTGAGAAAATATGGATGCGGTCAAGCCACAACAGAAAAGAGAGTAAGACAGCATTTGCAGATTTATAGAAGCAAGGAGAAGAAAATAACAGAGAGTACGCAGAAAGTATTCCCTTTACTAGGAAACAAGTGGGTTTACAATTAGAGGTTGATTTTTATACCCTCACCTTCTGTATTGTACAGTACTGATTTTTGTGTCCTGCTGGGTGCAGCAGCTGCTTAGTAGGGCTGCCCTGGTTCTCTGGATGCAAACATTTTTCTTGTTCGCATATTTGCCAAGTGAAGTGCAGAGTTGCATAACTCACTTCATTTTGATGTATTGTTGTTTGTGTTTTGCTTTTTTAAAGAAAAGAAAAAGTCTAGATATTTTGCAGTTTGCTACTCTAGAACGATTTGGGCTATCTTCTATAAAAAACTAATTAGTTTTGACTTCCTTACAATGTATTTTATCATTTATTACCAGGACATATGTAAAATATTGCAAGTAGGGCAGATTTGATTAGAAGTATTATTTTCCTTCTTAGTTTCCCAGAGCTGAAACCTATCATTTTTCAGAGCATGCTGTGAAAATCCTATTTTCTAAGGCTATTCAGAGAAGAGGTGATTTAAACTTGGTGCATTTCAGTGTGGGCTGTTATTGTTTGAAATAGGGTTTTAACGTTAAGTAGGAAATTCAAGGAAATTCATGTTTAAAGAGATCGGGTTCATTAGATTATGATATCCTTGTTACTGATGATACTTAGTATTTTGTTTGCATTTCTGATATTTGCTTCAGCATCTGAAACTTGGAGAAGATTTGAGGAAGTATAAATAAATAAAATACATCTTTCTCCGTGATATCTTGGGTGTTGAATCAAATTCATAATTATTTTTTTTCTCGTGTAGTAGAATATAAGCCTTTTTTCCAATTATGCCCTTGTTTTCTTCTACGCCCCTTTTTTTCTGGACTATAATTTTCTTTATTAGTGGTAGAGTAGTGCGTATTTGCTCCTGAAATGAGTGTTCCCAATGCTAATTTCATGTGCTGTTCTGAGATTCTTCCAAGAGTTTTTCCTATCTTCACTTTGTGGGGAAAGACTGGTAAATATTTAAATATACTCATTTTCAAATTAGTCTGTTCTCGAATTGAGTTGTATTTTGAATTTTTCCTTAAATTATTATTTTTATTTAAATCTAAACTGTACCAAAACTCCTGAAAATCACCCATATTTGTTTGAAAACATTTTTAGCCCTACTGCAGCTCTAGATGTGTATTTCTGTTCCTTTATCTCCAGTTCAGGATGTATCACTGCAAGGCCAGAGCAAATCCTACTCATTGAAAGACTCTCTTTGCTTTCCTCTAACACAAAGCAAAGAGGTCTTTTTCTTATGTTTTGGAAAGATGTTTAATTAAGAATTACCTGAAATAAAGATACTCTGGCATAAAAACCTAGCCAGGAAATGGCTAACAGTTTGACTTTGAATATTTCTAAGAGTTCACCTGTTTCATATTTTTCAGTTTATTCCAGTAAGCTTTTTTTCTTCTGGAGAATGGTGGCAGCTATCATGGGGAAAAAGACTTCTCACACAGGAAAAGAATCCTCCCAGGCAACCAACCCCAGTCCCTTGGACAGCCTTGAGAATCAAACCGCATCAGTAACTTTTTAGAGTTCAAAGGAACCTGTTTCCCTCAGGTCCTGCTTACCTGCACCCTCATTAACCTCTTCAAAGAACTCTGAAGATTTAGGGAAGTACTTGCTTCCCCTTCACTGAAACTGGGTGGCTTCACCCTATCAACTTTTCATGCAAATTTTCTAACATTCTGATGAATGTGGAGATGGATTCTCCAGTGGTGGACATTGATCAGATCAGGCCCAAAGTCGCTTTATCTGAGATATTTCTGCTTGAAAAGCACAGCAATTAAAAGGTATTAGAACTTACACACAGGATGGAAGGTCTAAGTGTTATACACATACATGTGAAGATTTCAGGTGAAACAAATTGTAGAAATTATAGAAGAAAAAAGTCCTATTCAAAATACTAACAGCATGGCTAATCAATCATTTTGCCTTCAATGAGTTGAGGATACAGCAGTAGTAACTTACGTTCTCTAAGAGGACAGGTCTGTTCCTATCAGTATACATATACAGAATGTTTATCAATTTAATGTGGTTTGTTTGTTTTTAATACACGAACTAATAGACCCAGAGAGTGCATGCATTATTATTGCTGATTTAAAGATTGCACTGCATTTGGAGAGGGCATCCTGGGTTCTGGTCTCTGGATTTCTGCAGAACTGCTCTTGGGAACACCATTCCCATCACACGCAGAGCATAGGATATGTGAATTTGAATGTCCTCAGACTCATAGCTTCTGTATCTTAACAGGGTCTACATGAGAGCTGGATGTCTCATCTCTCGAAATGTGCATGCAAGAAATACTTTCAAACATTAAAGTTGTAGGTTCTGGGGACCTGAAGGTTAATGAGAACAAAAATGCTCAGTGAGTTTGAGGCACTTCAAGGATGTGAAAGGAACTCTTTTGTATCTCAATTCTAGATGCCTAAAGGCTTCTTTGGGATTTGAATGTCTGGGTACGATACACCGTATTAAACTTTGAAGAAATGATAGTGTGTACCTTACCTAAAACGTTCACCTGTAGGATTAGAAAATAATTCTCATAAAGACTGGCACAAATAAGAGAACATTATCCAGAAAATACTTTTTCTTTATTAAAGATGCTTTATGCTTTTTTTACTCTCTCTTGTTTTCCAACCATTCCACTTGAACCATTTGCACAGTATTGACCTGCTCTGAGCCTTTAGGGAGGCTGTTAAAATCTGTAACATGAACCCACAGCAGTGTCAAATATTAACAAGTGTTCTCTGCCCTGCTGGTGCTGAACGTTGATCCACCTCAGGCGTCAAGAAACTGAGACAGCTCGTTCGTAATTGTTGCCTTTCCTGTTCTCTCATATGGTGGGTAAGCACGCTGAAATGTCTTTCCTCTGGCTATTCAGCTTTATATATATTGCATCACCCTCATCTTCGCAGTAGCAGGATCCCGCCCAGCTGCATACTAATCGATGTGACTGAGATCTGCCTCCTGTGGTTCATTGTTTCTCTCATCCTGTCCCCAGAAGAAAGATTGTGTATTTAGCCATATAATGTTAAATATATCACTGTGTTCTGCAGGGATATGTGTTTAACTGTACTTTTTGCTATGAGTTTGTACTAATGAAGGCAAGTCAAACTGGTGTACTTCCACCTGAAATGGAAGATGACGAGGTTTGTGTGGACCTCAGATTCTGGGAGAGGCCATTCCCCAGTCTCAAAACGGGAGTCTCGCTCCTGCCCAGAAAAGCTTTCCTTTACTGCAAGCTGAAAGTTTTACTGCTAAACTGGTGGATGAAAAGCTGGACGTAAGCCAACAATGAGTACTCACAGCCCAGAAAGCTAACCGTATCCTGGGCTGCATCAAATGAAGTGTGGCCAGCAGATCGAGGGAGGTGATTCTGCCCGTCTACTTTGCTCTGGTGAGACATCACCTGGAGTACTGCATCCAGCTCTGGAGCCCTCAGCACAGGAAAGATACGGATGTGTTGGAGTGAGTCCAGAGGAGGGCTGCAAAAATGATCAGAGGGCTGGAACACGTCTCCTATGAGGACAGGCTGAGAGAGTTGGGGTTGTTCAGCCTGGAGAAGAGAAGGCTCTGTGGGGAGACCTTATTGCAGCCTTTCAGTACTTAAAGGGGGCCTACAGGAAAGACAGGGACAAACTTTTTAACAGGACCTGTTGTGATAGAACAAGGGCTAATGGATTTAAACTAAAAGAGGGAAGATTTACACTAGATAGAAGGAAGAAATTTTTTACAATGAGGTAGGAACAGGTTGCCCAGAGAGGTGGTAGATGCAAAACATTCAAGGTCAGATTGGATGAGGTTCTGAGCAACCTGATGTAGTTGAAGATGTTCCTGCTCATTGCAGGGGGGTTGGACTAGATGACCTGTAAAGGTCCCTTCCAGCCCAAACTATTCTATGATTCTATTTAACCAAAAATATTGGCTCCCAAAAGGCATAGAGAAAAAAAAAAGTCTTTCTTTACAGCATTTCTTGCCTACTCTGTTGTTCTGTTCTATGAAAAGAGTAAATCAAAAGTCATCTCCTAGATTACCTCTTTATTTATTGTCTCATTCCTGAGCACTCTTTGTTTCAGAGGCAGCTACAATGGATCATAATCGCCCATGGCTCCCTCAGTAGACGATTCAGGCATTAGATGAGCTGAACAACCTTCTGAAGTTGCTTGTGTCTCTTGAGCTTAGGCAGACTGAGTATTTGTCTGAGCCCTGTGGTAGGACCCTTAAATTAGGTGGGAGGAACCTGTATTAAAGTGTTCATTAACTTGTCACAGAAAAGCGTGCCTTTAAAAAGAGTGGGATGCTCAGTGAAGGAAAAGGTGCTTGCTCTAAGTTATTTCCAAAAATCACAGCCCATTGCTTCCTTCACAAACATGTACAAATATTGTTTCTCATAGGTTGTTTGTTTTGTTTTTTTTTTTAAACAGACAGAATATTATGATCTTATCACAGTAACATTCTTAATAATGTTGCATAGTCAATATATTTTTCTTGCCATTTTTTCATTTTACCTATAGCTATTTGTGGAACCATTCATATAACAAATTGCTAGGACCTGATTGTTTTCATTATCATTTATCAGTATTCTACATAGATCCCACTGAAGCACTGTGGTTTGGACAATACACCAGAGTTTATCAATGAATAATCTGAGTTCTTAAATGAGTAACTGATTTCTTTACCCTTGCAATGTACAGGTTGTTCTTCATGATTCACAATGCTCATCATTAGACTGCGTGTTTTACTTAATACTGGGCAAACATAGCATGTATACGGTGATGAAGTTACTTCTACAGCTTGGCAATATGCTTTGATTTATCAGTCTTCTAAGCTGTGGTGTTCTATTTTTCCCTTAGGGATACGATGATGGATATGGGGGTGAATATGATGATCCAAGCTATGAGGCATATGATAACAGTTACGCCACCCAAACACAAAGGTAAGCATTTGTACTTTTACATTTAATTTTTCAAAGAACACCTTTTTTTTTCCTCTTAGCTTTTCATGTGAATTTCCTGTTTTATTTTCCACATTAAATTCTACAAATTTTACAGTACTTTAAAAGGCTGTCAAAAAGTAGTAATGGCAATCAGAGTTTATAGACAGAATTATTTAGATGAATCAAAAATACAAGCAGCTATACTTTTAAAATTGGTGCGAAGTAAGTGTTTGTTTTTTTTTTTAAAAGCAAGAGATTACATCATTTTCTTATCTGATGTCACTTTGAACTTGTTTGTTTACTGGTGTGAAGTTGTCAAGGGCATCTCGTATTTATGGCTTTTACAATGTTTCGGGCAAAACCAGAAGGAAATAAAAAAAAAATTAATTATGATGGTAAATACCTGCCACTGGTTTGCATCCATCATCAAGGTAAACTATAGGAGGGAACTGCATGCCTGAATTAGGGCTGAAATTTTCTCGTTTTAGCCAGTTATTTTCTCAGTAACTCTCAGAATTGGTAAAAGCAACCAAGTTTGGAAATTTATTTTATGTCCTTACTGTGTGCGATAATGGGGAAAATTACTTTCACATCTTTTATGATTTGTGTCACTAAAATAAGGCAACAAAAACGATCACCTTTTATGTGCTCATACACCATACACACTCATATATTAATTTGACAGTTGGTCCATGTTTATTAAATATGGAATGACATCTTTTTCACAGTTAAGCTGAAGGATAAAAGGGTTTATTCAGAAATTATTCAGAATTGTTCAGAAACTGCTTTTATGGGTTGCTAAGAGTACATGTAAGACTGTGGAAAAGCAAATTAATTTTTAAGAAGAAAAGACATAGCTTTTAACTGAGTTACTGTGATTCTCACTGGGCAAGAAAGCAATGTATATGTACAGCGTTCAGCACTCGGAAGACCAGAGGACCTTAAATTTGCTTTTTGTTTAACCATCTTTTTTGTTGAATGCTTTGCTGATGAAAATGTCTGTCAGAATTATGTGCAGCTCCAGAACTGCTGTAGTGAGTGGCACTCAGGCTGATAAAAAATACTTTGTAAGTATTTTTATAACCAGTGAAGAATCTTTAAAAGGATTTGTCACACCTAAATGTGAACCCCATCAAGTATACTTTAACTGCACTTTTAAGTAATTATACATTACTGGCTGCACCCATCATGTCATTGTGTAGGTAGATATTCTTGTTGTCAAATGTACTCCAACTTTTTTGAAAATAATTCAGCCCATCTTTTGCTATAATAGTGAATTGTCACAGGAGATATTGCCTCTGGTGTAAAAATAATAATTAGCTGGAAATCTCTCTGCTATGACATTGCTTTATATCATCTGAATTAACCTGTAATTTCTTTGCAACTTGATGTCTCAGGCAACTAAATGACAAATATATCAAGCTTATGAGGAGTGTATTATAATCAAGCTAGAACTGGCAGTGACTCAAGAAAGAAAACTTATGAAGAGTCACATAATTTTGTCAATTAAACAGCTATTAAGTTTAGTCATCAGATATGTTTTCTATAAATGTGAGCTACCTCCAGGATGCCTAATATATTTAAAATCTGCAACTATAACATTTCATTTTGTAATACATGGCAGGACATGCAGTCATACTTACCCATGTGGAGTGCCAGAAGTAGTCTATTGATTTCAAAGAGAGCATCTTCGGAACAACATACTACTTATTTCAAAGATTTACAGAGCAAATGGACCATTAGATATGGAGTTTGGACTTCTGTACCTTGTTGGCCACTTAGCTTCACAGAAATGCCTCCCTACTGAGCCAAAATAATACAATAGAATAAAGTAGTATGACCAAAATACTTGATTAGATGTATATACCAAAAAGTTCTCTCCTGATCTCAGCTCTTGTTATTAGTATACTCCAGTCACATGGGAAAGACATATCATGCCACACCTAACAAAGAAGATAAGTTGTACTGATTCCAAGTACTTATTCCTCTCATCCAGTATGTGATCTACAAGAAAAACATCAACAAAAACTTGTAGACAATGTCTGTGCTGAGAGAAAAATATCATTACTGCCCTCTGCAGGTGGCTTAATGCAGAGTTCCAAGATTTCAGTTCATGTTAAGGGCAGCGTTTTGCTTTTTATGGCTCACTAAGGAATCAATATGGAAATTCTTAGAGAAGATACGAGCTCGTCTGACTGTCTCACCACACATGTTGACCAAGCCTTACTCTCATTGTTGCTTCACATTGAAGAAGGCGGGGAGGGAGAAGGAGGGTGGAATAGGGATGGGGATGGATGAGAAGGAATGGACGGACTGAATGCAAGCCAAGTTCAGCGTGCTTTACAGCAGAGAACATATCAAGTCGTGCTTTGTTCTCCTACTCACCCAATGCACAGAGTGAAGACTGAGGTGGAACCTCAGGACACCACCACTCCTGTTACATATACCTTTGTCTTCTAGACTTTACATCTACTTCCCATTTGCTCATCAGAGGCTTTCCGACCGTATATTCCTTCCAGGGACCCTTAGTCCTCGTTGTCCGAGAGGTCTGATTTAAACTTTTTGTAAATTAGGGTCTGCTAACAGCAGAGAAAATCAGCATGCTGTCAACACACACCCCTGTGATACAACACAGGATTATGATTTAGTAGAAGGAGCATAAAAAATACCCAGTCCCAGGAACATCCAGATGGAAATGGAGATAAATGCTGTCCTTCCGTGCACAGTTATTTGAAGATTTGTACTAAAGATCAGGGATAGTTTTGCACGCCCAGCAATATATTTTGGATAGGTCCTTCTCTAATGAACTCTTCCACTGCCACCCTTCCCAACAAACAGCTCTGTCCGTCATGATAGCAGTCTGATTTTTAGACTGAAATAGGGGGATGGGGTCACTTGCGGAAGAGACCATGACAGAATCTTGGGATCAGGCCTGAATGAAACCTACAATAAGTCTGTGTGGCTGTATGAGCTAAGAGGCACCTCAAGAGCACTTTGAAACGGACACAATAATCAACTTGAAGAAAGAACAGCAAGACCCTTGCTATGGTAAGTGCAACATGTACCTTATTATGTTTGGGGAGTTTTATTTTAGGAAGGAGAGAATGACGGGTTATGACATAAACAGTTATTGCTACAGTCTATATTGCCTGATATGTGTCTTCCTTTAACTAACAGAAGCTGTATTTCTAAAGCTAGCTTTTTTCCTTCTCATCTTCTTGTCCTATAATGACTACCCAGAACACAAGGTGGAACCTCAGGACAAAGACTTAAATGAACAACTAGCTGCTCTTCCCAAATGTGTCTATAACCATTATTTACAAGATTACATAAAAGGCTACAGTTTTAGCAAGGGCATTTAGAAACCTTGCTCATTGTAGAATTTTTTTCATACTGAGGTCAAAATACAGTTTTTGAGGTAATTAGAATGAAAGCTTTGTCTGATGCCAAAAAAAAACAAAAAAAACCAAGGAGACAACCATTTCAGTGGGCAGTGGAAGATATCAGTTCTGACATACTTCCCATAGGCAATGTTGCACAGCACTTCGAATTTCTTGATGAAACCTCTTTTTCCTCTCTCTTCCTCTCCCTTCTATGCAGTTTGAAGATGACTTTCAGGGATAAGTACCTCTGCCCAGACACAAGAGGAGATATTCTATAGTTGTTAAGTTTATACACTATTCCCTAGATACCTGGAAGTCAGGCAGAGAACACTCAAACCCTTTCTGCCAGCTAGATTTACCTCCTCAACCTCTAGTCTGACAACTTTGGTTAAAAATGTAAATCCTAGACATGCTATTCAGAAGTAAAAATCCCTTTCTGAATATGATTGCCATCCCTGCTCCTCACCATTGCCTGTTCACATGTGTCAATGATGAGGTGCCGAAAGGGAGGTAAAGGAAATAATTCTTTCTGATGTTCTCAAACAACACTGTCTTATCTCAGCAACCAGTTAATATCTATCTAAGTTTTCCACTCACCTTGCACTTGATACTTAAAAACTTGTAAGAAGTATATTCTGGTTGTCTAACAGAATTCTGGTATTACACAAAACTACTCTCACCTCACAGGTGTTTAGCTAGACTCAACCCTCACCTGTCAGCCATTCTATCAGATGCTGCCCAGCTTCCATTTCTAATGTAGATGTCATTCCTGTGCAGGCCTGTAAAGGTATGCTGCTTGTCCACTTTTTGGATGATTCTTAGCAGTTCAAGCACACTGATGTTCTCAATGGCTTCTTACCTTCAAACCATGTTGGAACATGTGGTGGCAACCATTCTTCCTGTCCATTCCCACTCAGATACTGATTTAAAGAAATAAATATGATTTCTACAGGGCAACAATCAATCTCATAAAACAAAACTCTGAAATGGTAGCAGTATGAATTTCCAACTCAGCTGTAACACAGCAGATGTAGGAGAATCCTATTAGTTTTCAAAATACGATACAGTTTTTGATTTTCTTAGCAGGAACTTTTAAGTCTGTTGAACCACCACCACTGTCCAGGATTCATGGGCTGAGAACACTAGATCACCAGGAGAAAAGGATGAAAAGTTTTGTGAGAGGATCTGCAAGATCTGCCTCTTTGGTTACTCAGAAGACGGTAGGGAATCAGACTGTATCGAATGCGAAGTGTGGCCAAACTCTTCAGCCAAGGCCAATAGAATAATTTTGTGGATCCGTTGCTGAGGAATCAGCTGAGAACCCTGATGACCAGCAGAGCTATCTTCAGCTTTGCTACCACATCTATAGTCATCTGTGACCTTTGTGTCTCTGCCAGCACCAGCAGTTTCATTTCAAAGGTACCATGTCTCACAGCCAAAAGAGATACTAAGGAAATCTGGGACTGACTGGCAGGTCATGGGACGAACCAGGAAGGGTATGTTCTATACCATATGCAGTGTAAACAATCGTGCCTGACAGGGAAAAGCAAAGGAAGTCAGTGATTGTCCATTGAAACGTAAAGTTTGGGTTTGGTATAATTTCCCTGTTCCACGGTG